GCAATACAGATTCTCTTAAACTGAAAATAGATTATCTTTCAATTCCTCTTATTAAGGAATGAACAAACAAGAAGCATAACCACCATAAAGATAATTACTAGATTAGATGAAAAGAGTCTAAAAGAAATCTTTGGGCTTATTGGCTATTATTCTTAATCTTTTTTTTATTATTCTTTCGAAATTGTTATATGTAAATGTGATTCTGTAAGAAAATTCTATAAGCCAATGTTTTATAATCACTTCCCAATTGGTATGAAAACTGTTAGTGTCAACTGAAAAAATGTTAGTTTTGTTAAGTTTAGCCAACGAAGCAATACCATCAAGCATGGAAAGTTCCAATACAAATTTGAGAGGCGGTAAGTGTACTGCTCAAGAGCCCTAGCTCAAAGACACATGAACTAGCATTCAAATCCCAAACCCACTATTTTACTACTGCATGACTTGAACAAGTGACTTAGACAGTTTTCTCATCTATAAAACAGCTCTTAAAATTGTTGTTATGCCTAAGTAAGGTAACATAATATACTAAATAAGTTCTCATAACTGAGGGCAAGGCTGAAATATTAAATAGCTATATATTTAGAACAATACTTTTTTAAGACCTGTGAATACAGACAATTAATTAAACGTATGTTATAGTTTTAGCAAAGACCCAGAGACTTGAATTCAGTGAGAAAGGAGAACACGGTTACCTGGAAAGGCAGGCTTTAGTAACAGCACTGTGAAGACTTTCGTTAGGATACTGCGACAGCCGACGAGAAATGCGTAACAGTTGTCTGGTAGAAAGTGATGCCGCCAGTGATTGTGCCTATCAAAAGGCAAAGACAATCTGTTAGGAGTCTTGTTTCAACTTGCTAAAGTCTCTGTAGATGGGTATCACAGCAGAATTCATTATTTCTGAAGGACAAGGTCAAACTTAAAATAAGTATGTATTGTTAATGAATTACAAATACAAATAAACTGAACCAATTTACACTTAAAATATACTTGAAGATAGGTTTTTAAAAATCTATAAAAAGAATTTATCAATTAAATTCAGTTAAGTTATTTTAGTTGGGCTAAGTCGGAGGAGGGGTTGGATGCAGGAAGGATGTACATAATACAGGTCACACCTGAGTTACAAATAGCGTTTACTATTTGTTCATTTTTTTTTTTTCTGCTTACACAAAGCCAACCTGTTAAGATATCCTGAAAATGCTTAGAGCGTTAAGCAAATCTGTGGTTTCTGAAAAGGAGTTGCGCACAATTTAGGCTGCTTGACCACAGACGTGTCAATCAGTTTATCACTTGGATTGCATCTTGCTGTTTGGAATCCTTCCCCTATACTGTCAGAATAATTTCATTTCCTTTTCTTACACTTCCCTAAATCCCACTAACAGAGTTGCTAGTATAAAACTCAGGACATGGTAAGCACTCTACAAATATTTCTTCACTTGAACTTGAAATCTGTTGAATTTGTTTTGGCTGTCAACATAATGTAATGGTAAAGTTTATAGGCTTTGGAATTAAACAAATGAGGCCCCCATTTATTAGCTGTGTGACCTTGGCAAATTACTTAACCTCTCCAAGCCTCAGTTTCCTCACCTTTAAAATGGCAATGATAATGCTGTCATCTTTAAGGTTATGAAGATTAAATTAGAAAATGATTCTAAAGTACTTAGCATAGGTCAGATAAAAACAGGTGCTCAACACATGGCAGCAATTATTATTAAATCAGTTAGCCTCTTCAAAAATGAAAAAACCTAACAGAGGAAAGAAATGGGGTCTACACATTTGTCGAAATGTAACGAACTGGATTTTTATTGGCTTAATTCCTAATTTAGATCACCAGCATTAAGAGGCAGTGATTTTCCCCAAAAACCAGAGAAGAGAAGCACTTTTGAAGCAACTGGACCTTTGGGAGGGCAGAGCAAGCCAAAGTGAAATGTCACAGAGGTTGCAGAGGGCAGTAAAGTGGCACCAAACACCTGAGGGACTGGAGAAGGGGACTCTATGGAATTAATCAAAAAGTTCAAAATGGATGAGGGGAGAATGCCAAAGACACACTGCACGTTTGCTTGTTTCAAAGTTTCGCCTAAGGTCATCTCTGTATGTCACAAAGAAGAAAAAATGAATTCATTTCTCCTTCCTTGTGTATTTCACAGCTCCATAAGATGGTAGTCTGCTGTTATTAGTATTATATTTCAACTGCAACATTAGCATTACATTTCCTTTGGGAACTAGGTTGGGAGCATGACCACTATTTATGGGGTATCCTTTTTTCTATTGAAAAACACATTCTAAGTTTCTAAGAACTCATTTACAAGCAAACATTTGGTCCATCCTTGTTTTCAATAAATTTGCATCTCAGACATGGAGACAATATTTAAATATAAGAAACCATAAACTAGAACTCAAAGTAGCATATAATTTAATGCTAAAATAAGTGGAGCAGTTGACAGCTGCTACAGGGGCTTAAAATGCTCAAGTGAGCAGGAGAAATGCTGTGACCAAAGGCATGAAAGCAAAAGGAACAGAAATATTAGGTCATTAAATATGAAACGTCCAGTTTAAAATCAAAAGTGTAGTTTATTGAGTCTGAAACAAACAGTACAAATAACCAAAGTATACGCCTAAACTATTGAAACAGTTTTGCCATCTTGTTGATGCCAGTGGAGAAGAAGCCTGGAGAGCGAGTGGCACAAGTGGCGATGAAATCAAGACAGGCATTTTCCACAGCTTGTTGAGAACTGAATGTTTTTCCTTGCAAGAAGTGGTCCACCACCTAGAAGTGGCAGTCAGTTGGTGCAAGGTCTGGTGAGTATGGTGGATGACAGAGAGTTCCCAAGTCCAGCCTCTATAATTTGAGCAGCACTGTTTGTGCGACATGTGACCAAGTGTTGTCTGGCAACAAGCACTGGCCTGTCTCTATTGACCAATCTCAGCTACTTAATCATAAGCTTCCTCAACATTTCATCCAGCTGGCTGTAGTAGACATCCTCTGGAATCACTTGACTAGGCTTCAATGAAGCTGTGGTGGATAATACCAGTGCAGGACCACCAGCAGACACCATTAGCTTTTTTGGATGAATATTTGGTTTTGGAGTGTGTTTCAGCACTTTATCTTTATCCAACCATTGTGCCAACACTTGCAATTGTCAAAAAGAATCCACTTTTCATCACACATAACAATACAGTGTAAAAATGGTTTGCTTTTATGTCATGACAGCAAAGAAAGGCAAGCTTAGAGTTGATTTCTCTTCGGAAGCTCCTTTAATTCATGCAGAACCCGTCTATCCAGCTTCTTTACCTTGCTGCTTTGTTTCAAATGGTCCAGTATTATTAGAATAGGAACATCAAATCTTGCTGCTAATAACACGTAGGTTGAGATGGATTCGCTTCCACTATAGCTTTCAGCTCATCATTATCCACCTTGGTCTCAGGTCACCCACATGGCTCATTTTCAAGATTAAAATCACCAGAACGGAACTTCTCAAACCATCAACATACTGTGCGTTCATTAGCCACATCCTTCCCAAACGCTTCGTTGATGTTTTGAGTTGTCTACACTGCATTAGTTCCACGACAGAACTCATATTCGAAAATAACATGAATTTTTGACTTATCCATGGTTTCACAAAAATTGCTCTTAAAAATAATTTGAATGATAAGCACAAGCCAAAACGTGTGTTTGAAAGACTGAAGATGTACCTTCACAATAAAAATAAAACAAGACGTGTCAAAGTGAAATGTCAGAGATGGCAACTGTCAAACTTAGTATTATACTTAAGGAAATCAGATATTTCATACTTAATAACTTAATACGTGTAGAACATGAGGAAACCAGCCCAGTTTCATGATAGAGTCCTGCTAGAAGACTTGCTCTCAAACAACAAAGACCTATGAAGGACACCTGGAGGAGTCTGGCCTTGTTCCTAAAGGCAAGAGGACTTTTGTTATGTGCAAAGCAGTAACATGATTTTAGAAGATTACTATTGGCCTAATTCCTAACTTCAATCAGCAGCAGTATGTAAAGTAGTTGAAGGACAGAGAGAACTGAAACAAGAAACAGAAAGCGACCTCAATAATCTGCCTATAAAGGATAAAGTCCTACAATAAGGGTATGGCAACAAGAATGGAGAGAAAGGATGCAACAAATGTTTCAGAGAGTTGGCGACTGACTGGATATGAGAATGAAGGAAGAATCGAGGGTAAGATTTAGCCAGTATGATTGAAAGTATCAAAACTTAAATATGACTCAGAAATTCCCATCCTTAACACCCAGGACCATGAAAAATTCCTACTTCAATCATAAAAAAAGTTTGACAAATGACTCCAACCAGAGGATTCTCATGACACGAATCCTATTATACACAAGGCAACTTTCTATGGTACAACACTCGAAACTCTTTCTAAGCATGACACTGAATTCAGCCTCCACATTTCATTCCAATGATCAGTAAGGATTTCTCATGAATTTGAAGAACACCAACGCTTCTATTTGATAGCACGAAAATGCTTTGCAATAACATCCAGGGTCAAAAAATCAGAGCTAAGCTTTACATTGAGCCATTTAAGTGTTGAATAAAGAGTTTGGGAATGTCTGCTCTCAAATTATTATCAATTAAAAATTGAGAATGTACTTTAATTTAAAAATTCTTAATGTATTTAACATTTATAACATTAAATTTCTAACTGTGGTTTTGTCTTGCAAAAAAAAAGGGGGTGAGGATTTGAAGCACATTTCCTCAGTTACCATGGTTATACAGTTTAAGAGCATACCTCAAAGAGTTTTTCACATTAGCATGATTATTAATACCTCAGTTTAAAAATATGAAAGTTCTCATCAGAAATTATGAAAAATTATTTTTCTTTTATTCCTCTCAAAGAAATATTTATTTTATGAAAATGTAACATGTTCTCAGGGAGAGAAAACTCTAGGGATAATCTGTTCATAAAATTTTAATTAGTTAATCAATTTATTCATTCATTCATGAAAGATTTAAGTGTCTACTATGTGCTAGGCACCAGGCTGGGAAATGGGACTAAAAGAATGAGAGACACCTAGCCTCAAGGAGGCAGGCACCAGTGTGTTCAAGGAACAACAAAGAGTACTATATAGCTGAAAAGAATGACTAAGGGGGAAAGTAGTTGGAGATTAGGTCCCAGAGGAAATTAATAGGGAACCTGTGACATCTAGAAAATGGTCCCCCACAAAGATATCCACATCTTAATCTCTGGAACCTGTCAGTGTTACCTTCTATGGCAAAACTGACTTTGCAGATCAAATTAAATGAAGGATTTTGAGATCAGGAGATTATGCTGGATTATTTGGATGGGCCCTAAATGTAGTCCTATATATCCTTACAAGAGGGAGGAGGAAGGAGATGTGACACAGACACACAGAGGAGAAGGTGATATGGAGATGGAGGAAGGATTGCCATAGTGAGGCCACAAGTCAAGGAATGCTGGCAGCCACAAAAATCAGAAGAGGCAAGGAACGGATAATCACCTGGAACCTACGAGGGAGTGCATCCCTGCTGACTCTTCCATTTCGGCTCAGTGATACTAATTTTAGCGTTTTTTGTCCAGATAAAAAGAAAATAAATTTCTATTGGTTTAAGTCACCAGTTTATGGTAATTTATTACAACCATCACAGGAAACTAATAGAGAGATGAATGAATTATTGGTGAAGACAGCTGTGAAGAGGACCTAACAATATTCCAGGAGAAAGATGGAGAAATCCATACTAGGGCGATTACTGACAATAGAAAAGAGAACAGAGACACATCAAGATGTTAAATTGGTAAGATTTGCTTTCAGATTAAGTGAAGACAGTAGGAGAGTGTGGAATCAACAATGATGTCAAGGTTTCTAATTTAGGTAATTTAGCAGACGGATTATTAACAAAGTCAGGAAATTAAATGAGGAATAGGAATACATTTAAAGGGGAAAGATAGCTTAGTTGTATAATATGGGAATTTACAGTCATCTCAGAGGATTCTGTTGAAAAGTGAAAGAAACTAATACTTATTAAGCAGCTATTAGAAGGAGACTCTTTATGTACATTTTTATGTTGAATCATTGAGACCTTTTTATGAGGTAGGAGGGCACTGTTCCCATTTTACAGATGAGAACACTGTGACTTAAAGAATGACAGCCCTTTATCTTCCCAACATGCTGTCTTGGAATGGAAAAATGAAAATCAATAAAAAAAGAGAAGTTTAAAGCTGAAGATAAAGACGCAGGCATTAACTTGGAGGTGGTACTTGAAGCTATATGAATAGATGACCCTGCTCGGCATAGGAGACAGAGAGAACAGAGCAGAACACCCACAAATACCAAGCACTCCTCTAGAGCTACAAGCTGTTTTCTATAACATGAGCCAGGAGGAGCTAGAAGAAATTTTAAAATCACTAAAATCAAAGTAAAACATATGTATAGGACAAAGCGTAGCATAAGGTATAAAACAACAGCTTAAAATATAGATTTTAAATCATTGAAGTCTAAGAAAATAAAGCAGCAGAATGTCTATTCAACATGGGAAATGCCCGGACTTACCGTTGGGTCCTGTGTCTCTCTAAGTTTGTGTGTAAATGATAATAATTTATCCAAAGCTTCCTGAGGTATATTTGGGACCTGTTTTATGAGAGAATTAAGGAAAAACAGAAAGAATAAATTGGGATATCTGATCAATCAACCAAAAATGATGACTACTTAACAAATAATATTAGAATTACACTTTTAGAAAGTTCCTGATTATCAGTTACATGTTTAACTCAGATAAAGTTGCTTATTCAACTTTTCAGGAAACATTGAAACTCCTGCTTTCTCTTTAGGAATCAGGTAACTAAAACCAAGCCACTCTTCAAATACGATTCTATCACCAGGATAAAACTGAAAGGATCCTCTAACTCAATCAAAAATTGGCACATAATGTACCCATAAAGAACTTTTCATATATTATCACTTCCTCTTTTGTTAGCTTCAGTGTGATATTTTAAGCATTAACTTAGGCATTTTCTTACTAAAACCAAATTCCTTTACTTAGTAGCAATCTTACATATTATGTATACTAAGTGACAAAAGGAATGCTTGTGTAAAGAATACTCAAGGTGTCCATTTTTCCGAAAATACATACCTGAGGAGTATAATCAACGTATCGGTGAATTATGAAAAGCAGTCACCCAAAAAACACACATTGATTGCTCCCAACTATAACAAACTTTAATTTAATTAAGCAATTAATTTAATTCAACTATAGCAATTTTTATTTAAGCAATAACAAATTTAAGGCTTTAATTTAAAAATATCAGAAAGAGATATTAGAACAATGACTTTGATAATGTGACCATTTCAAAAAAAAATACTGTTCAGGGTTTCTTTGGTCATTTAAGTAATCTGAATTTTTTAAAATTCTATGTTCTATTCTATATATACTGTATCTTATTTATTCTTTAAATTGATGCTATGATGTAAGAAGTAGTATTATCCCCATTTTCAGAAGAAGAAACTATGAGTAATTTACCTAAGATCTGGAAGCTAGTAAAAGTAGTGGATTTGACATTTATAGCCAAGTTGTTGAACTCTAAAGCCTATGCCCTTATTCACAACCATGCTCACAAGAAGACCTAAAATTAATCAGTTCATTCTGCTATTTCAAAGGGAATGGGTACATTTTTGTATTTTCTATCAAATTTAAGAAACCATAATATATCTGGACTCCCATCACAGTAGGAACTTAAAATAGTCACCTTTGGCTGAATATAAAAAGAAAAGGAATTCCAAAACTGTGTCTACATAAGGAAGGAGGAGAGACAGCCTACATCTGTGATTCTCCATGTGTGTTCCCCAGACCAGCAGCATGAGCATTACCTGAGAACTTGTTAGAAATATAAATTTTCATGTACCGTCCTAGATCTATTGACTTAAAATCTATGAAGATGGAACCCAGAAATCTGTGTTTTTTGTCAAGCCCTCTAGATTCTGAAAAATGTCAAATTTTGAGAACCATTGACCTATATCATTATATGAGGAAATTTGGGAGCAAATGGAGAGAAAAAACTAAAAATGTCTAACTCTGCTCCAGCATGTATCAGATTACCTTAGAAAGAGAACAGGTGTAGAAAATAAGCTAGAGCTGGCCTCACACTTACCATTTCCTTAATCACTTGGATTTCTTCACTTTTGACAAGAGGTTTCATGTAATGGAAAAAGAACATGGTTAA